TCTGAATTTTAGCAGCTTTTAGGCACTAATAAATAGTTAATTTCCTTAAAAGAAAAGTTTTTTCCATTTTGCCTCTCGAAATTTAAATTTTTAGTACTGGAACTGCATGGTTTTTCAAATTTCTATAAACACAGAAAGCTAACGGTAAATTCCGTATCATTAAAAAACATAATTCTTTTTCTTAACTCACTCAAATAACCCTTAAAATCGAATATTATGTTAATAACTCTTTACATTTATTTTTGCTTTATTTCAAAGACTGCAAAAATCGTTCATCCTGAATGTATGCAATTCTTGAAATAGTTTTGTATATGAATGAAAGTAAATCTAATAGTGTAGTAGGTATACACAGATTGTTTTTAAAAGCAGTATTTTCGCTTGTTGTAGGGATAAGTGTTACAATACAAGCCATTGATTTGACCCAACTTTACTCTCAATTCTCTCAGATGTGTTGCCTGACATGGCGGTACAAAAAAAAAAATGCGGATAAACCTCGAAAATATATTTAATCAAAATGATGGTCAAGATTTCGGATTGAAATCTGAATTCTTGATATGTTGCTCAGAAAATTCCCCAGTTCACTTTAATATAGAAATTGTAAGGGTTTAGTCAATTTTTTTCATAGAGAACTAAAAATGAAAACCCATACATTCAAAAAAAAAGAAGGACCCAGGCCTTGATATTTTTAGTATGCCAAGATAACAATCCAACCATATTTCAATTTTAAATATTTTTCTAATTTCTACATGTTTTATACACAGTCTAGAAAGATATGAACATGTTAAATTATGTATAGATATCCTCAAATGGGAAAGCATATAATGTCATTTTGAAATTTATTTAATGAAATAATATAAATTTACGATAAACATGGCAATACCTTCTATGACAATAAATTTTTTTAATAATATGTGTGTGAATACATTATTTGTATGGTATTATAAAAAGGGGAATATAAAACATTCCAAATGAAATATGAAGAAGGAGGAGAAGAGTAAAGAGCATAAAATTCATTTTAAATATATTTTTGTTTTAATATTTATGACAAGACAATATTAACAACATACAAACTGCATAACAGCAACAACATTCTTATTATAACAAAAATAAATCTCATGAAAAAAAAAAACTATTCTTATCTGCTCTTTTTTTTCTCTTGTTTCTTTCTCTTTTGGGGTGCGAAATATTGTGCCTTTACGAGACTAAACCTATATAAAATATAATGGTAATATAATGGTAAAATACAAAATTTTCATGTGTGTGTGGCGAAAAATAGAGGAAAACAACGAAAAAATTTTAAGGAATTACGATTTTTATGAAAAAAAGAAAAAAAGAAGGGTGGTAGTGTAAAAACCAAAAAGATAAAATAAAGGGGTGATTTTTTTTGCTTTGCTTTTTTCTTATTTATTCGTCCTCTTTACCATATTTTTTAATGTATGTATTTACCTACATAATGTGTTTATGCGCTAATGTGTGTATATGTAAGAGTAGTTTGAATGCGATTTCGTTTTTAAAAGTTATAATAAGTTTTGTTCGCTATTTTTTTTCTTTTTCTTTTCACAATTTGTTTTTGTTTTAAATGTATCTAATTAATAAATATACATATATACATACCTATATATATGATAATAAGTAAATTGTATGCGAATTAAAAAATATTTTTTGAATTTTGAATTTTGATATTTTCTCTCTTATAAAGATATCAGAAAACTTTTTATTATTTACACATATAAACTATATATATATTTGGAGTTTCCGAGGTATTTAGAATTATTTTTGCAAAAATTAACAAAAAAAAAGGAAAAAACCCAAGAAACACATAAAAATATGCACAAAAATAGTGTAAAATTAATAATATATATTCCAATGATAATACTAATACACATACGCGAATTACATCATAAACTCCTGTAATGTACAAGACATCTTTATATTTTTGCATATATGTTTGTATTCAAAATTTTATAGAAAGACGTCGGTGATTATATACACACACAAACATATATAAAATTCCTGTTATACATACGTATAAATTTGAAATAACGAAAAGAAAAAAATAAACAGCTGGTAAAGAAAAAAATCTTTTGACAATTTCTATTTAATGTCATATTTAAATTTGACATTACTCATCAGTCATCACAAACAGAAATTCAGAAAAATGTATGTTTATCAAATATGCACATGTAGGATGTATGACAGGTTTTTTGGAGGCGTGGTAAGTTTTTGTTTCATGCAATTATAACAATTTTGTTATCTAGATAGCAATTGCTGTCAATAAAAATGTATATACAACTGCTCTTTTTATCTAGACAATTTATCCTAAATGCTAGGTCGAAGCGGCTTACATATATATTTTCAATTTCTCATGAAATGGCTCAGGGATGTGCATGGTTCCGAAATTAAAAGCGTTTATTTATATGCAAGAAAAATCTGGTACCTTATCTTTTAACAGAACTGTAGCTCACAAAAGAGCATATCTGCACCCATACAATTTTTTGTTGGAAATTGATCAAAGAATCATCCCTGAAATTATTTGCCGCATTATGTGAAACACCTTCTAGATTATTTATTCTGTTTTGATTCACTGACCACATTTTTAAAAAGTCAAAGGTATTTAATTGTGTAAATTTTAATTTTTTTTTACAAAATGGTAACACTTATAAAATAATAGCAATCAAATGAATATTCATACCATATGAAAATAATAATGAAAAAAGTAATGTGAAGAGAAACCAGTAGGTGGCTTGTATATTTAACCATATAGATCATACTAAAGAATGACACGGTTCTTCTGTCAAATAATCAGCTTTATATTATAATTGCTATAACTATGAATTTTACCCAAGATAATTATTTTTGGTTCTTTTTTCCATTGTCTAAGGTTCTTTTTCTAAAATGTTATTAAAATTTTGAAACATCAATTAAATATTTTACTTAATATTTTTCCCTTTTAGAACTTTTTCAAAAAATTTTTGAAAAAAAGTGCTTATTCACTCTGTCCGTCTGTCGTTTCACTCTGTCTCCCCTCCTTTAAAACTTATACCCCCCTAAAACCACAAAAATGGCATTCTTTAACTATTTATTGTATTGAACCTATCAGTGTTTTTCTAACTTTGAAAACGCAGAAATGTAGTGGATGGCTTCTTCTACCGCGGCATACTATATTTGAAATTTAAAAAGCAAAATGGTTGTTAAAATTTGCCGATATCTAACATCTATTTTTTTCCAAATTTTTGATCTCGTTTTTCTTCTAGACTCTAGGTTGTGAAAGTTTGGAACAGCGCTTAGGCACTAATAAATAGTTTATTTCGTTAGAATAAAATTTTTGCCTATCTCCACACCCTCTCAAGTTATAGTCTTACGAAATTTGTAAAATTTGAATTTTTGGCATCTTATATTTTCGAAACCACAAACAACTTTTTTCGAATTTCTATAAAGGCAGAAAGATAACGGTAAACTTTATGCAATTAAAAAAAATATAATTATTTTTCTTAACCCACGCAATTGACGCTTAAAATCGAACATTTTGTTAACCTCTTCAACCCTAAATGTAGGCAATTCTTGAAATAGTTTCGTATATGAATGCAAATAATTTTAATAGTGAGGTAGGTACATAGACTGTATTTAAAAGCAGTATTTTTACTTTTTGAAGGGAAAAGTGCTACTTTACAATTGGTTTGATTTTTTTATGTTGTTCAGCTTTCTCATTTTTATTAGAAATATATCAATGAAATCCGATATCCTTTAGAATCCCTTGCTTTTTAATTTTTTTAAACCTATTATATCAAAAAATATGTCAAATTAATTTTTTTCTTAAATACGGCAACACTATAGAACATGAAATAATTGTTATTTTGTGCGCTTGCTTTAAAAATTTTTTTTTGACCCCTTTTCTTTATTTAATGTACATGTATTGTGTAAATTCGTTATATGTACAGATAAATATTAACAGACACATTTTTCCCTGACTTTCAGGTTACCATATACCCATATAAATGTTATAAAGTCCCAAAAATTAATGCCCCTAAATATTATGTAATTTTTTAATAAATACATTTATTCTAATTTATCATATTATGAATAATATATTTTAATTGCTTAAATAACTTAATTTAGAAAGAGTAGGTAATTAGAAAATTAATTGTTAATTACATATTTTTGATTTTATATATATATATATATATAGCAGTTGAAATGTGTGCAACGCTGTCAAATGTATAAGTGCGTGTCATAAGGGAAGTGAAAAGATTAATTGAAAAGAGTATGTATAATTTCAAATTAAAATTACTCACAAAATATGTTGTATTACTCGTATATTTTGAAAAAAAACCAAATTGTCTAAAACTTGTCAAACTTGTATGTGAATTTCTACTTAATTTTCTTTTACTATAAACTTTTCTAATTTTCAACATGAAAAATTATGATTACAAATGGTAACCCTATAACCGAATTAGTATTACAAATCAGGGGTCGACAATTTTTTTAAATACATAGAATATGCCATAGAGGAAAACTTTTAAAATTTTAAACTTTAATTCAAGTAAGATTTCTACATAATACATTTGGGTTTATTAATAGAAAATTAGGAGGTTTTTTTTATAATGCCTTCTCAGTTCAAATATAAAAATCATAAAGTTATATAAAAATTATAAATTCAAGACGCGATAACTATTTCAGCTCTAAACTATCTAACCATAGATTAAATTTTTTAATTGTGGGGGGGGGGGGGTGGGGGGGGAAAGGCAAATGATGATGTACACTCTTTTGTCAATTATTTTTAAATATCATTAAGAAATTCCATGTAACATCAATGTTGTAAAACCCATAAAATGTATAGGTTGCCGACATATGATTTATGCTGGCCTATATACGTTGATATCTTAATATTTTGGCGTGTACAAGTGTGTACACACATACATATATGACACTTATTTTTGTATATAGGGTTTTCCTTTTCAAACATACAAAAAAATTAAATATGTGGAAAATATTGTTATTATGGAATAAAACAGAAGAGAAAAAAATTTGAAAAAGAGGAAAATAAATAAAAAAACCCAAAAAATAAAACGAACAGTAAAGGAGAAAAATAATAAATAAATAAGGAAATTGAAAAAAAAAATGTTTTTTTTTTTTCTTTTGAATTTTTTTTTCAAATTTTTGTCAAATAAAAAATAAAATTTCGAATAGTTAAAAAAACCAAAATATTGGTAAAATATTAATGACCATTACAATTTTTTTTTTAAATAAAACAATTACCAAGTTTATGGAAAATTGAAGTAGAAAAAAAAAAGAAAAAAAAAACAAAGAAATAGAAAAAATGTTATAAAAGAAAATCCAAAATTTTTTGTGTTTTTATATTAAAATTTTGCATAAATTTAGGGGCAAATTTAAATTAGAAATTCAAATTTTTTCTTATAATTACTGTACGAAAAATAATTAAAAATTTTATTTTGTTTAAAAAAAAAATTTACAAAATATCCTGAAAAAAAACAATAAGAAAAATTCAAGGATAAGAAAAAAAATCCTTCCATCTTAAATATTAAAATAACAAAAGAAAAAAAAACACTAAAAGTTTCTTGTGTTCCTTATAAAATAAAATAAAAATTATTTTTTTACAAAATTCAGCTTTGAATACATTTTTCATCCCATGTCCCCTTCTCTCTATACCTCCTCCTCTCTTAAACATAATTTTAATTTAAAACGATTTAAAATTGTTTCCATGTTACAAAAAAAATTAATTTTTCTCCATTTTCCAAATTATGAGAAAGTTGCTCATCATGGGTGAGGACGAACTTCTTTTATACATACTTATTAGCATATTTAATATTTTTATGTTTTTTTTTAATTAACCTACAACCAGTTTTATATTTTCAATTTAAAAAACAATTAAATTTTTTGCAAGTTTTAATAAAAATTAAAAAGTATTTTGGATTTAAAAATCAGAAAATAATTTACAAGCAAAGTGATTTAAAAAAAAGTTGGAAACGGGAGTGAGGATAAACGGACGGACGAACGAACGGAAGAGAAAAGGAGATCAGTATCAAGAAGAATACTTATACGTCTATACATATATGAAAATGAGAATATTTTTGTGTGTTTCTCTTAAAAGATGGCGCGCGTAGTTAGTTAGCTATAGGAAAGGAAGGACTTGACAAGTGGAGCAAAATATATGAGGGGTTGGAGACTTTCGGGTGAATTTAATCGATTACAATATGTAATATGATGCATATGTTTGTGTTTGTACCTATATATAAGTGTACATATATGTATAATTGTTTATATGTATGTGCAAAAAAAAATGAGGATTAAAGAAAATATAAAACATGGTCACGTCATCCACCATCATCCACTAGATACAGTTGACTTTTTTATTTCATTTTTTGCTATTTTCTTTGTTTTGTTTTTTTTGTGTTTCGAAAAAAAAAAAGAAAAAAAGTAGTGATTTGATAAATATTATTAAAATATGTGGAAATTATTTTCAAAATTCAAAAATATATAGAATAAAGTGCATACATGTACATAGTATGTACAGTATGTAATAGTTGTATATGAAATTGTATAAAATAAGCAAAACATATTAAAGCCTATATGAAAATAAAACAAAAAGAAATTTTGTTAAACAATGAAAAAAAAAAGAAATATTAAACATATGAAAGTATTTAAATAAACACTGTTATATAGTATTCTATACCATATAATATTAAAATTATAAATAATTATTATAATTTTAAAGTATATTATTATTATAGTATAACAATGGTATATAACAATGAATATTTTATAACAAATATTACAATTAAATTTTAGAAAAACAAAATTTTATATTTAAAAAAAAAAATAAAATCATAACTAAATCATCATCAACAATATTGCTCTGTATAACAGTAGATAACTAAATATAAAATTAAATAATAATAATGAAAAATAACATAATGAATTTTAATAATAATATTATAATAATGATTTGAATATAGAGGACAGTTATAATAAAATATCAAATAATTATCAAAACACTATATATTTAAATTTCATTATTATTATACAAAATTTATTTATGCAATTATAACAGTTATGATAATTATAAGTAAATATTAAAATGTTTAATAACATATAATAAAATAATACAAGATAAGAAAAATACAGTATAACAATAATTAATTCCAGCAGCGCAAGCTTGAAATGAATATACCAAAAATAAATATCTGGCTAGTTGAACAACAAACAAAATAGCAATCAATTTATGATATAGAAAAAAATTCAATAATTATATAAAGAAAAATGAATGTGTCACCGGTTAGATATAATGGACCACAACATAATCATCATCAGTCAGAAGGCTTTCATCATATTAGTGGACGTTTATCAATTCATCCGATAGATCGTTTTGATGAATCAATAACATGTTGCAGTTTACCACCACCATCACCAGCTCCAACAAGTGATCGTTTTGTAATGGGTAAAAAAAATTTGTTATAGCTTCTATACTTTTATTTTATTCATTTACTTTTTTTCTTAATAATTTATTTAGGTGGCATTCCAGCTCCATCATCTTCTTCTTCAATTAGTGCTGGTGGTAGTATGAATCTTAGTAGTAGTCACCATCATCATCATCATCATCATTTTACAACAAATCAAGAACAGGGAGCAGCACAAAGTGGCCGTAATAGTATTGATAAATATGCTACAATGCATCGTACAATGTCACCATCATCACGTTATAGAATAACAACATCAGATCGATATCATCGTGACTTATCACCAAAATGTACACCAACGGTATCCGTGCAATCATCATCAGCACCATCTACAAGCTCGCAACAACATCAACAACAACAACAGCAACAACAACAACAACAATCTGGCACAAATCATCATCATCATATTCATCACCAATCATCAAATGGAAATACAAATTCGGATCGTTATAATTTAACAACAGCAGCACATTTTTTAACAAATAGTACACCATTAGTTTCATCCGATGCTTATACTTATTTATCATCAACAGTTCATACACCAGTTAAACGTTATGTTCCAACACCACCACCTCCAACTGAAATCTATTCTGATATACAACAATCAAATTCAAGTATTACATCAGTTTCATTGAATAGCGATTGTAATGTTAATAGTGGGAGTAATACACTTCAATTATCAAATCATCAAACCCCTCTAAGTATATCACAATCTCAGCAATCATCTCAACATGTTAGTACATTACCATATCGCTTTCGTATGAAATGTTGTTTAACTGATGCAAATAATATACAACAATCTCAGCAACTAAATAATACTTGCCAATCAAGTCGTAATAATAGTAATACATTAACAGTTGCAGATCATTATGCAACACCACCACGTGTTCGACCACTAAAATGCCTTTCAAATACGATTGAAATATCTGGTCAAACATCAACAAGACAACAAAAAGTACAACAATCTAGTTCATCTATTATAAACGCTTCCACATCTTCATCATCTTCATGTTCAAATAATACGTGTAATGCGAGCAGCAATACTATTAATCACGGAAGTAGTAACACTGGTAATAGTGGAAGCAATCATCAGTCAAGATCTAATAGCGGAAGTGGTGGAAGTGGAAGTGTCGTTACTGCTAATAGTTTAATTGCTTCACAATGCCTCGTTAATGATTATTTACAACGTACTCCAAGTAATGAATATCTAGTTGAGAGTGTTAATTCAAATTCAAACAATAATAATCGAAATGTTGTAACACCGACAAGTGTAATGTCAGAGCCATTAACAAATGCTACTTGTTTACATTGTAATACAATGCGTCGTACAACTGGTGTACATCAGACAACTCAAACAACTGGACCTATTAGCCCTGTACCACAACAGCCACCTCAAATACCATTACAGCAGAATTATTCATCGTTAAATTCGAATCATTCATCTTCCATTATAAACAATCATAATGAATCAAATGGTATTACAAATGATCGTATTTCAGTTTCACCAACTCCTTCAGCAAATCAACAACAACTTTCACCTTTGTCACCAAAACAACAACAACAGACACAACAAATGATGCAAACTCAACATATTTTACATGATCAAAATGTTGAACAACAGCAAGTATTATGTAGAACACAACAGCAACAGCAAACCCAACAACAATCGCAAACATCACTTTCATCTCAGTCCCAAAATTCTAATCTATTATATTCATCAATTGGAAGAAATGTTCAACAGCAATCTAACAACCAATCTCAGTCACAAACTCAATCACAATCAACAATGTCACAATTGGCGGTTGCTATTGGTGCATCACAATCTCAACTATCCAATCAAATTTCGGTAAGACAACAGCAGCAACAGCAACAATTACAACAAAAGCAACAGCAACAACAGCAACAACAACAACAACAGCAGCACCATCATTTCGTTACATCACCAAATAGTTTGCAAAATCAAATGATAGGCAATATAGCTGGTATTGGCAATGGAAATAACCTATTGAATTCATCAAGTGCAACACAACGTAATACTTTAACAATAAGACAACAAATGCAACAACGGTTTTCACGTAAACAACGTCTTAAGGAATACATAAGAAGAGAGATTGCTCAATTTTTCGGTGTTGATCCAAATAGTGAAGATGAAGAGCGTCATAAATGGCAAGAAAGACAAAAACGTTTAGCTTTACGTCGTCTTGGACCATTGAAAAGTGATTTTGAAATTAATATTAGTAATGGTAATTGCGGTGATGGCAGACGTGATCAACCACCACCTGGTGATCGCCCTGATATATTACCCGCTCAAATAACAAATGAAGAATTACAAAACTCAAATTATGATAATTCCTTACGTTTACCAATTGAAAAGAAGTCATCTGTTCCAACAATGTTTATGTCAGGAATTTTATATATTATACAAACATTACATAAACGTCAGCCACGTCAACCGAAACAGTGGTCAAGAAGTTTTGCTCCAGCTCACATAACAACATTAAATAATGATAGTTCAAGTGATGTTTGTGACGGTTTATCGATATTACAAGAAGATGAAGTATTTTTTGATTCGCCTGGTAATGATGTCGGTACATCTAGCACACTAAGTGGTAACAGTGGAAGTGGTGGAGGAGGTAGTAATCCGAGTAGTAATCATAATTGTACTAACGGTAGACAAAATTCATCTAAAATAATGGAACAGACAAGGCAATTATATATGGGTGAACGGGTACATGGATGGCGCACATCTGCTGTCATTGATTTACAGCATATACAACAACAACCGGGAGGATGTGTTAATGGTAGATCAAGTGTAAATGGTAGTATTTAATAAAAATTATATTAAAACAAATAAAACAAAACACAAATAATATTTTTTTTTTGCTTGTTTTTGTATTGTTCTTTTCGAAAAGGTTCTCAACAACAAAGGATGGGGTATCGTGGCACAAGAATATCATCACAAATACTTGATGGTGTTTTAGAGAATTCAAGGCGTCCAATTGCTCGTAAAGTGAAAATGTTTCATCCAAATGAATTAGATGATCGTAACGATCATAGACCATTTTTCACATATTGGATAAATACAGTTCAAACTTTAGTTTTAATATTTTCACTAATTTGCTATGGTATTGGTCCAATTGGTTTGGGCATTGAACAAAAAACAGGACAAGTTTTGGTTACAAGCCTAAGTTTACAAACGGTACAACATCAAGAACAAAGAAATTTTTGGATTGGCCCACGTAATAATGATTTAGTACATTTAGGAGCAAAATTTGCTGCATGTATGAGACGTGATATTAAAATAATGGAAGTCGTTGCTAAAACACGGCGTCAAGAACGTGAAACAGCATGCTGCATAAGAAATGATGATTCTGGTTGTGTTCAAAGTAGTCAAGCTGATTGTTCTGTTCGAGGACTGTGGCCGACGGTATTAATTGAAAAAAAAATACTAAACAATACTGATTTCAATTTCCATACTGATTTGCTCCGATCTAATTTTAAATGTTTTTATCTTATTTTAATTTAATTTTAGAAATCAATATCAACATGGAAAAAATGGTCACCAGAATTTTCTGGACCAGGAGGTCGCATATCTGGTTCAGTATGTGGTTTAGATCCTAAATACTGTGATGCACCGGCTTCTATAGCACCATATGAATGGCCAGATGATATAACAAAATGGCCAATATGCCGTAAAACAAATTCATTTTCGCAACGTTTTAGATATAAAGGTCAAACAGCTGAACATATGGTTTGCGAAGTAATTGGACATCCATGTTGTACTGGTGTATTCGGTGAATGTCGCATAACTACAAGAGAATATTGTGATTTTGTTAATGGATATTTTCATGAAGAAGCATCATTGTGTTCACAAGTAAAATTTTTTTAAGAACAATTTAACATTCTCATGTCAAACTTTTTTTTTTATATAGGTGTCATGTTTAAATAATGTTTGTGGAATGTTTCCATTTTTGTCTGTGGAAGTACCGGATCAATTTTATCGACTATTCACATCATTATGTTTACATGCTGGTATCATACATTTAGCTATCACAATTGCCTTTCAACACATTTTCTTAGCAGATTTAGAACGTTTAATTGGTCCAATAAGAACAGCAATTGTTTATATTGGATCTGGTTTAGCTGGAAATTTGACCAGTGCAATATTAGTACCATATAAGCCAGAAGTAAGATTTGAAATTATATTATATACTTTTTTTTTTATACATTTCATTACTCTTCTAATACCAGGCTTTGAAAAATTTTTAACAATACTAAAAAGAAAAAAAAATGAATTATTAGTTTATTAATTTTGAATTATAATAAAAATTTTTAGGTTGGGCCATTAGCATCATTAGCGGGTGTAATATCATCTTTAGTTGTTTTATTATTATTGGCACATTGGCGACAATTAAAAAAACCACATCTAGCATTAATGAAATTAATTATAATTGGTGGTACAATATTTGGTATGGGTACATTACCATGGCAGCAAAATTTTGCAGGACTTGTTGCTGGTATATTTTGCGGTGTATATTTAACTGTAGCATTAGTTCCATTTATTAGTATCACAAAATATGGAAGGAAAGCTAAGGTAAAAAGATGATCAATTAAGAAATGCTAAAACTATTTTACATTCTTAAATGCTATAATGCAAACCAATGCTATAATATTTGATATAATATTCAAAATTTAATTCGTTTCCTTTCATTTCTAGATAAAATTAATTTGGACATGTGTTTTGTTTCATTTATTCATTTACACAATGATGATTGTTATATTTTATGTATTTCCAACTGAATTAACATCAATTGATTTTGGTGACATTATAAATGGTAATGGTTTTAATACGCACTCAACAATCAATCATAAAAATCGTTTTGATATTGATAATTATGGTTCAAATATGAATACACCACATAACAATCATAATAATCATCATCATCATACAGATGTTATTGATGATCGTGGTAGTGATGACCGTGTAATGAGTGCTGGTACCGTTAATGAAATCAAAACAAAATTAATAAATTTTAATTTATTACAAACATCTTACAATGCAGCTGTAATTTCAAATAACTATCATAATAGTAATAATAATAATGAAAGAATAAATAATGATAACAATGCTGGTATAAATATTAAAATTGATAGGCCATTAATAAAAAGTGGGATCGCTATAAATGATATTAAAAATAAAAAAAAAAATATAAAAATAAATAATTATATACTTTCAAATAACAGAAATAACAATGATATTATTGTTAATGATCATAAAAATGTTAATAATAATAATAATAATAATAATAATAATAATAATAATAATAATAATAATGAGAATAATAAAAGAAGCTATCCAAATAAAATGTATAAAAATGAGGAACATGTTAATTATATAAAAGATAAAAAAAAAGATAATTATTATTATTTTAGTATATATGATAATTATACTAATTATTTGATTGATATTAATTATAATAATAGTAATAATAGTAATGAAGATAACACATTTAGTAAAACAGCTAATGACAGTACTATTAACACTGAATATTTTAATATTATTAATAACAGTTATGAGGACAGTGAAAATAATAATAATAAAAATACTTATAATTATACTAATAATAATAATGAACAAAGAAAAAATAACATTGGTAACAAAATTTATAATAACAATATAATAAACAAATATGCCGATATTAATTATAAAATGATTGAAAAAGAAAAAAATTATAATAATTCCATAAATTATTATAATATTAGATTTAATAAAATTGAAAATGAGCAAAATATTATTAGAAACAAAAATAAATGTAATGAAACAGAAAGTGAAGAAATCACAAATGTTATTGATAGCGATAACCAAAACAAAAATAAATATAGTAATAATAAAAATAATAATAATACTGTTAATAATTATAATAAAAAATATAATAAAATTAATAATATTAATAATAATATAAGTGATATAAAAATCCAAAATATTCAAATATATAAAAATGAAATTAATAAAACGCAAAATAATAATATTAAAAATATTAATGAGAATTTGAACAGTTTAACTAAGTTTAACAAAATTGAAAATAATAACGGCATTAAAAATTTTGATGTTCAAACGGCAAATATTATCGATAGATTTATTGAAAACACAAAAAATAATAAAAATATTAATATATACAATGAATATCCAAATATAAAATTGAATCTGAAAAAGGAAAACAAAAACATCAATAACACAATTTGTAAAAATAAAACAAATTATATCGAATATGCAATATTTGATACAAATCACGAAAATAATTATAACAATGATGGTAATAATAACAATTATATTAATAGCAATAATAAAGCTACTCCAAGTAACCAAATACTTAACATGGAATATAGTAACACTGACAAAAATAGATTAACTGTAAAATATAACGGTTATATGAAAAATGTTTCTGTTAATAACAGTTATAACAGTATTAACAGTAAGGATGAAGATAACGTTAATAATTATAAACAATATGATAACACCGAAATTGAATTTTATAGTGAGATCAATGATACCAATGAAGGAAATTTAAAAAAAAATGTCAGTAAAAATGAAAATAATTACAATAAAAACAGTACTATAAATATTAATATTATTAATGAAAGTTGTAACGGTAATAATGGTGACAATAACATTAATAATACCCATGCTAATGAGAATAAATGCAGTCAAAATAACGAGAGTCACACTGATCTTAATAATTCTTTTCTTAGTAGTGACAAACATAACGACAGTGATAATGATGACGACAATGATAGTGATGGGGAAAATGATAACGATAATGATACTGATAATGATGATGATACTGACAATGACAGTGACCATGACAGTGACAATAACAATGATAAAGGGAATAGTAATGATAATGAGGATGATTATGATAATGACTTAGATATTAACAACGACAATGATAATGATAGTGAGAATGAGAGTGACAATGATAACGATGAAGAGAATGATAATAAGAATAATGGTCGTAATTACAACGTTATAAATAATGTTAATAGCGATGATAGTGCCAATAACAGTTATAAAGATAATGGCAATGATAAAGATGACGATTTAGGTAATTATGGTGAAAATGACAATTATGGTGACAGTGATAAAGATAATGAAAATGAAAATAAAAATGGCAATGACAGTGACAATGACGATGAAGATGCAAATGAAAATGACAATGAAAACGAAAATGACAACTATAATGGCAATGGGTACGGCAATGAAAATGAAAGTGACAGTGAAAATGACCAAGACATTGACAATGTAAACGATATTGGTAAAAATAAAAATTATGAAGATTATGATGATAACAATGATAATTATAATGGTAACGATAATGATTCTGATAATGAAAATGATAATAATGATAAGTATAAAAGAAGCAAAAAGGAAAATGATATTGGAAATTTTAATAAAAATTACAAAAATGATAATAATGAGGTTAATGATAACAGTGACAAAAAGAATAAAAATATAGAAAAAAAAGAAAATATCAATTACCATAGCAACAATAACGATACAATCAATGAAAATTATACTGACACAGATAATGATCATGGTAATATTAATACTGACAACAATTATTATGAGAGTGGTAATAATAATAAAAACAATGATAATGGCCACTTTTTCGATAATGACAATTACACTGATATCGGGAATAACACCTTGAATGACGAAAATAGTTATAATATTTCTAATTATATAAATCGAGAATATGATGGCTATTATATGGGAAATTTTAATAATTATTATGATAATATAAATGAAACATTTAATGATAAAAATCGTGATTCTAATGATAGTAATAGCAATAACAATAATAATAATAATAATAATAATAATAATAATAATAATAATAATAATAATAATAATAATAATAATAATAATAATAATAATAATAATAAAGGTAAAAATGATAAAAAAGCTCAAAAAATAAAATTAAATGTAAAATAACATTGATGCCAACAATAATGTAAATAAAAACTAAAAAAAAAAAAGAAAAAGAATATTGTGAGACAAAAAGAATAAGAATCGAATCAAATTTTAAAATGAATAATAAACAACAACAAAAGCTGTAATAAAAACATTTTGTTACCAATGTTATAAAAAATAAGGAAATTAGAATTACAAAATGATTTAAATGACAATTTAATAAATTTAACTGCCAATATGAATTATATATGAATATTGATAAATATACCGGATATAATTAAAATAGCATTTAATATTAAGTTGTAGAGAAAAAAAAAACAACTAACAAAAAAGTAAATTTGTAATGCAAAAACAAAGTAATAAATAATATTAAAAATAATTATTATATTAATTATTAATAAGTTATAAAACTACTATAATACATAGTGGTCCTATTAAAATATGAATGCATCCTTAAATTAATATTAAATTTAAATTTAATTGAAATATTTAGTTATTTTCTTCTTCTTCTTTTATTGAATTCGATTGCGAATTTTCTTTGTTAATTATTATGTAAAGTTAAGGTGCAATTTTTTTTTATTAGAAAATAATTTTTTATCAAATTTTTGATCAAAAACTAAATTTGCAAATCATATATTATTTATCTTTTATAATTTTATCTTTTAAAGTCAATCACATTCTATGTCTCTAAATGTCACTTTTTTAAATTCGTGTGTATGATAATGGTAGTGACTAATGTTAATAATAATTAATGTTCATAATAATTTATAATAAAAATAATTAATAATAATAAATAATAATACTTAAATAATAATGAAATATAATAAATAATGTTAGCAGAAAATGAAAAAACGTGTTTCCAATTTTAAAGTTTTCAATTCAATTACATAAAAATAGGTATAATGATGTATAAGTGTGTAACAATAAAAGAGTGAGTTCGAAAGTTGCACTTTATTTTGTTATACATAAAAGTAGAATCAGGCAGGATTTGCTCTATTAACAGAAACCCCCCCCCCCCAAACGGAACTGCATTCTTAACATTAGTACCAACTTTTGAACATGTTGAGCTTTTTTCAAAATTAACGCAATTATATCCTAACACAGCTAAAGGTGGGGTAACGATATTGCTGAAGGGGAGGTCAATTGCTAAGAGCGACTGGTTTTTGTTTTCTCGCTTTCCACAGAACAGTTGCACCATAAATGTGCAACTAGAACACGATTTTCTATCTTGGCGATTTCCAACCTAGTCGGCATCATATAATCTTTCTAATTTTGTTTCTGTTTTTCTATAAACAATTTTTTAATCTATTGTTGCATTCAAATATCTTAAAATATATTTAACAGCCGCAAAGTGTTGATTGTGTGGGTTTGTATTAAATTGAGCTACTTTACTTACTGTATAAGTAATATCTGGTCTAGTAACAATACTCAAGTATAAAAGTGATTTAATTATAGATTGATATTACTTTATGTCACCTATGTAACATTTTTCACAATTAGTACATTTTTCAAGAACTTGTGGTTTTGAACAAGATCTTGTTTCTAGCATATTAAATTTTTTTACCAAATTTTTAATAGATTGGGTTTGGTGTAAATCTTGTAATTCCATTTCAGGGAAGTAATCATTTAGTCCTTTATCAATAATTTCAAATTTTGAACTAATTTTTTCTTTTTCAGATTCTAAAATATTATTATTTTCACATTAATCTTAAAATATCATCTACAAATACAGCCAATATCGTAGGTTTTTCAGTTTTGTTATTTAGACACAAGCACGACTTTACTGCGAACATAACCAATTCGTTTTAAAATTTCATCTCTAACTATCATACTCTGCTGCTAAAGTTAATAAAAATTTAAAGTAGAATTACTGAAAAGAGGCGCGAAAATTTCTTCATAGTCAATACCAATAATCCGTGAAACCCATATGTTTTGTTGTTTGTGAAACCTATCCATGTTCATCCGTGAAACCCCTTTGTTAATTGCTTGTTTCAAAACTTTCTACTAAAAATTCTACAAACTTTTTTTTCAAAATTTTAATCAGTTCCTTAAAAAAAATTTTCCACCTCTGGTTGTTATTATTTTTCTATTTTTAGATTCATATACTCTATAAAATTTTGATTCTGACGAATATCCCACCTTATAACATTCTATACCTTTCGCACTAAACTTGGAATTGCGTTGATTTTTACTTTATCTACGTATATGCACGACAAACAAAAATTTTAAAATTTCCTATATCTTTATACCACGCTTACTTTAGTGTCATATTTCCTAATATTTTTCTATTACATCTATTTCTAATGTATACAGGAATATTAATTGCTTTTGCCCAAAAAAAAAAATTGGTAAACAACTTCGTATTGGGGTCGCATATATCACTATGGTTAGTTATTTTTGCTTTTATTCAAATTTCATATTCAAAATTTAAAGTTTTATACACACAAGTATTTAAATCATCTACCATTTTTCTATCAAGTAACATTTCTAAACTACTATTGTTCAGATGGCCATATCTGTCATTCCACAGTCTGTGATTATCTTTTAAATCGTTTTTTAAATTTTAATAGTTTGCAATTTGATTGATCTATTTCTAAAGCGTTCAAACCATTTTTCAATTCAACACTTAAAATTTCTTTTCGAAATTTATTTTTTATAATAGTGTTTCGAGAATGGAAAAAGCTTGTTAAAGCATTTTCAACATTGTTGACAGATAAAAATTACATTGTTGACGCTTTCTTTTAAAATAACTTCTTTAAAACCGGATGATTTAATAATCTATATAGGTATGGCTTGTTGAACCACTATCAAAAATCCATGTCGTTCCTTTTGAATTAAGTAATGAATAATTTTTATTAACATTGCAAAAGAATATGAATTTTTATTGCTTCTAACATTAAATTTCATGTTTTCTCGGCAATATTTCGAATAATGCCCTCTCTTACAACAAGAATAACTATGTTATATTTGGAATCATTTGTAAATTTTTTCATATTATCTGTATAATTTAACTGTTAGTGAATACAGTTTCATCTGATGTTGACACTAGTCCGTTTCTTAGTTTTTCTTTATTAATTAATATTTATTAATTATTTTTTTATTAATTTATTTATAATAATTAATAAATATTAATTATTATTAATGAATATTAATAAATTATTATAAATAATTATATTTATAATAATTATATATTACTAATAAATTATTATAATAATTGCTATAAATAAATATTAATAAATTAATAATTATTATAATAGTAATAATAATAATAATAGCAATATAAAAATAAAATTATAAATAGTGAATACATAAATTTATTGATGGCTATCCCAACCAAAACTATACCAAAAGAGAAAATATCTTAATATCTTAATACCAAAATAAAATTATTATCACTGAAAATAATATTATCTTAAAACATTGAATTTAAATATTCATTTATAACAGATTATAATTACAAAACATGCTTAAAGTACACGAGCAACAACACAGTAGCATATTATTTGCATTAATAATAGTGCATACTCGTATTTGCATATATTTATTAAGAGATAACAATGTGGCAAAAAACATAGTCTTGTACCACACAAGTATGAATCAAAACCGATTTTTCTGTCATTTCTCAAAACTGATTTTTCTGGTTGAAAAAAAATTTCGAAAATATATTTTATATACTAAATATAATAGATAATGTATTTAGTAGAGATTAGTAAACTTCAGTATTCAACAATAATAATTTTCAGCACTATGACCATAAGAGAATGAGGAACTTTAAAAATAAACCATTTAGTCAATGACTTAAAATCTGTATACATAAAGAGTCGACAAACAATTATAATTTTGTGAATTATGTCTTCTCAAAAACACTAAAGTTTTGTTCTGAAACCTTGTTGAATTACAAAAAGAAAAAAAACCAATAATTCTATGCTGCCAAATTATTTTTCCAGCTATAGTACCTGAAAATTGGAAAAGTCATAATAATAATAATAATGATAATAGTAATAAAAATAGTTATTAATTATAATCAATAACAAGTCTAGTATGTTATGTATGTATTATAGAAACATAAATGTAAGATGAAATGGCAAACAAATTATAGAAAAAAAGAATTGTAAATTTAAAATAAAATTTGATTTAATTCTGAATTATTATATTTATTAATTAATAAGAGAGAAAACAAAAAAATGTATTTGATAAAAAAAAAATGTTAACAATATTGTTAACTATCATTACAATTTCATTTACTCCGTACAAATGTGTGTATTTCATATATGAAATATATACATTTATATTTACTATACATATGAATGATTGATGATTGTAGAGTATGCGTAATATATGCATGATGAATCAGTTATTATTTAACTATAACTATGTATACAATATTATGCAGAACAACCTCTTAAAAACGAAAATTTTTGAAAATAAGTTAATGGACCCAATGGAATTAATTATTATTATAATTTTAGTAAAATAATTCTTTGATAGAATTATAAAATTAGTTTTAATTGTAAAATATTTAACAAATATTTAACAAATCCATAGCAAAAATAAAAAATCTTTAGTATCCAAAACTGCTTACACATTCTTTAACTAAAATATTTTTTTTCGAACTGTTGCTGTTGGATCTTCTTTGAAAAATGTTTCCCTTCTTGTTCGAACACTAAAACTTATATCAATATTTGATCTTTTAAGTGTTTTATGACTTTAATAAACGAATAAATTGAATTTATTAAATCTTAAGTGTTATAATTTTCAAATGAATTGTTAAATTTTATATTCATATTTTTTTTTAACATTTAAACAACGCATAATGAGTGCACTTATCACTGCATTATCCTGCATATATTACACACATCTATACATATATATGCATATAACATATGATATGTATTTATAAATATATAGACATGAATCTATATTAATATGTAGATATGAGACATTTTAATTTGTCGATCCAGTATATATTATACAAACATGAAAATATTGTATAGATAATATGTTATGAATAATGTAATAAAAAAAAAAACCAATAAAATAAAAATTGTGTATGGTTTCTAAACAATTTGAAAGATTTTAAGGTAGAGTTCTTTTTAATATCTTGAACCAAAATCATTTGTTTAACAGATTAGGTAAATCGGTAGATAAATCCATGAAATCAAATTGTTTGCTTTCCAAGCTGACAACTCGACTCAATTTAATCCTACATATGCAATAAAAATTATTAAAATTTCCCCTTGTAATATGCAAGTGAAGTAAAAGAAAAAAAAATTCTTAATTGAACACAAAACAATTTCTTAGGAAAATATCAATAAATAAAATGTATGTATAAGTAGAATATGTTTTATAAAATTATAAACGACACCAATAAGAAACTCTGACGCGCAACTAAAATCAAAATCGACTGCATTTTCCAATACTTGATTTTTCGCAAGTACGCAAATGATTTTTCTAATTAATAAATTTCTAATTCACCGTTGAAATTTTGGCATTTTTAATTTACATATGTATAACTGCTTTATATCTAAGTTTTTTTTTTCCGAGAAACATAAAAGTGCAATTTAAATATTTTTAATTTGAATAATGGCTTCGCTATTTCGTCTTAAATGAAATACACTTATTTGTAGGAATTTTATGTAGTAGCATTTTGCAAAACTGATTATGCTCATATTTATTAATATTTTACCTGTTTAAGAATTAATTATTCTTTAAATTAAATACTTCCTAAAGAATTAAAAAAAGATACCAGTACCAAGTAGAGAAGCGCGCAATAACAACGAAATAATATAAATGTCAGGACTGTGCCATTCCCAAAATGCATTAAATCAATTGACATTTTTCGTATGATTGACATTTCATCGAAAAATCAAAATAAAATAACAAACTTGGAATTAGCACAACGGGTAATATTATATTCTAGTCATATAAGGAAAAATAAATTTTAACTCACTAGCTTTTTTTAAAATAACAACTTTTGTCTCTTGAACGTTTTTTTCACTAGATTTTATTACGAGTATACAGATTTCAATTTGCGCTACACTACAAGGAAAAAAATTTTGTAAACTTTACTTTCTCAAAGTTTTAAGTTGATTTTGGTGCATTTTTTCAAATTTGAGAAAATGTACAATTGATAATATAAACAAAATTTCCAATTACGCATGAAATGTTTACTTCTTATATAATCACATATATATTTATAAATTTTTCATGTGTGTACTGTATTAATTAAATTTATATAAAGCATATGTATTCTTTTTACTTATATTAAAAGCTCATATAATTCTTTTTAGGTATATGTATGTAATGTTAGTTATATTAGGAAATATATTCACATATTGTTAGTAAGTCTGATTCATTGATTTACGAGTATCTAAACTATTGTATCAGGAGCTTTAAAAGCTTATACAAGTTTCTTTATAATATTTTTATTATGTTCGTTTTTATATACGGGACAACTTTGAACGATGCATTTTTTATAATAATTCTAAAACTATACAAAAGCACTATAATAACAATGTAAATAATAATTAAAATTTAAAATCTAATAATTAAAAATTTAAATTCTAGTTTAAAATCTAATAAAATTTTTATTATCTTTATTTTATGTCGTGTATTCTAGACTAAAAAATATAGCACCAAATTTTTTTTTTATTCAGTGTATTATCGTTTTTAAACACTGCGCACGTTCGTGATATTAACTTTGGTATAGAGTTTGAACCACTTAAAGGAGTTGTCTGCGGTATGAACACGATATTTATTCTTGCTCAGCGTGAAATTCTGCTTTGATTTAGACATGTCCGTTCGTTCTTTTAGTTTTCTCTAAGGCGATAATTCGATACGAAATTTTTGATTTTTGATACCCTAAGCAATGACATATTATATTGTACTTTTTGCTGTATCACCCTGTACATGTACATCTTCCTATAGACTCTTCACACATGAATCCTAGAATGACCTTTCAAGAAAAGAAAATTAATTATGATAAGTACTTAATATAGTATTTTTATTTAGTTATAAAATATTGCAAAGCCTATAAAACGTACACACTTATTACGATATATTTGAGGCTCAAATAATTTTAAAGCATTGTAATTGCATATTTAGTAAGTATTTACTTGATTTTCAGTGAAAGTATTTTTATTTTATTTTTCCATTTCTAATAATTTTCATTTTTTTGTATATTTTGTTTGGTATTTTTCTGGCTTTAAAAAAAATTATTTATCTGAACTTAAATTTTCCAAATAAACAAGTTATTTAACGAACAAGAGAAAACATAGAACTATAAATAAAAAACCAATTCAAGTTTTTTTTTTTAATTACTTACTTACCATTGTACCTGGTAATTATTTACAGTCAAATAAAAATAAATCTTTTAATATCTTAAATGTTTGCAGAACAGATAAAAATACAAAAAGGAAACAAGAGCAAAAAAATCGGATGTGTTAAGTACTTAACCGATCGCAATGTGTATTGACTAGTTAAGTGAAAGTGATGCAGTAGATTATGAAAATGCAGTTTGAATACTTCCTTTCAATTATAAGAAAGTTGGCAAGCTTTTAGTTAATATAATTAGAAAAATGTAAATTTTGCTCTTACCAAAATTTCGCTTTGTGCCAGCCGAATGTATTCAATAAGAATGTATTTCTGCACAGCGTTGTGTATTAATATCAAACATATTATACAGGTGCTAGAGTAAAACGACATGACATATAGACCTGCAAGAATTTTTCTAAAATTTAAGTTCATGATCATTTCAAATTATTCCTCAATGATTGATTATTGCTGGTTATAAATGTAACCAGCAATCTTTTATATTTTGCAAGTCAACAACTAATTTTATTACCTAATCTAAGTTTTTTCTCTTCTTCCTTAAAATTAATATTTATGTACATACATAATGTATAATTTTTTAAAACGTTGAGTTTCAATTGAATCAGCCTAGGCTCAATGGTGAGCACAAAAATAACCTTATGTTTTCCAATGTGAACAATTTTAAAATATCAAAATTTTTTTAATATAAGGTAAATTTTTTTTTGGAAGAAGAAAAA